GCTCCAGGTCTTCAGCGCGGCGCTGCGGGAGGCGCTCGCAGGTGAGGCGCGGCCCCGCCGGCCGGGGAAGAAATCGGCTTTGAGGGGAGGAAGGTCCGCACTCGCGTCCGTGCTCTTCCTCTCCCCATCGGGGCCGGGCGCCCACTGGTGTCCTTCCTCCGTGCCCCTTGTGTTGCTTCCGGGACCTGGTGTCCCTCCTTGGGTGCCCACCTGTGTCCTCTTGGGTTGGGCACCCATCTGTGTCCTTCCCTGACACCCAGCTGTGTCCTCCTTGATGCCACGTACCTATTTGTGGCATTGCCTGGATGTCCATCTGTGTCCCTCTAGGGGCTGGCAGGCATCTGTGTGCCTCCCTGGGCACCTACCTGTGTCCCCGTGGGGTCCTGGACAAATAGCAGCCTCAGCTCTGAAGGCGAGTAGGTCCCCTGCTCAGTCTGCTGAGGATTTTGTACAACTCCCGGCAGCAGCCCATCTGCTTGAAGCCCTCCTTGCTGGGGTTTGATATGAAGAATCCAAAACTGCTCTGTGTGCCCTGTCCCCTGGCAAGAAGGGCTCAGCCCTGTGTCAGTGGGGTTTGGTACTCCCCTCCCCAGAAGTGTGTCTGGGGCTCAGCACTAACTGGGTGGTTCAAGGGTGTCCTCCCAGCCTAACACAGCCTTGTGTTATCAGCCCTAACAAGGGATGGTTTGTTTGCTGCTGTGCTGAGATAAGGGGTAGCGACATGCCCCTGAACTTAGAGAATGACCTGGATGTTACTCTGTGACTGTGATGTTTTGTTGGTGGTGATACGGTATCTACCCTGGCCACCCCAGCAGTTGGGGTGAGAAGATGTTGGGGGTCCTGTCACTGCAGCCCCTGTGGCACTGTCCTGCCTGGGGTTTCTAGGACCCGAAGAGCTGTGCTCCTGTGCCTTGGAGCAAGTGGCAGCTGGATAGTTGAGCGCATGGCTCCGGAGCCTCTGTCTGATGGAGGCAGCCTAAGGAGGACTCGGTGCCCTCCACTCCACTTGCAGTGAGGTGTGGGACTGCAGCAGGACAGACTTCCTCACAGCTGCTGCACGTCTGCTCACTGCTCTTCCCTTCTCCCTTCCCTTGCAGAGCACTACAAACATCACTGGTTTCCCGAGAAACCGTTTAAAGGCTCTGGGTATCGCTGCATCCGGATCAATCACAAAATGGACCCCATTATCAGCAAGGCAGCTAGCCAGATCGGACTCAGCCTACCGCAGCTCTACCAGCTCCTGCCCAGTGAGCTCACACTCTGGGTCGACCCCTACGAGGTCTCATACCGCATCGGTGAGGATGGCTCCATCTGTGTTTTATACGAAGCGACTGCAACGAAACCCGTGAGCTCCTATGGGATGCTTACTTGTAAGAACCAGATGATGTTAGGTCGCACCAGTCCTTCCAAAAACTACATCATGACTGTCTCCAGCTAAATACTCCTCTTGTCCTTACACTGCCAAGACACAGGCTACTGTATACCTCACCTGAGGATCTATTTTTAAGATGAAGAGCTATTTATATTTTTTAAAAAAATCCAAGAAAATCCAAAATTAAAATATTGAGCACTGCTTTGAGCAGAAGCAGTGTTCTAGGTGCCTTTTTTAAAGCTGTTGCAAGCTTACGAGTTTTTATTATGAAGCCGGTATCTACCTAATTAGTGTTGGATGGCAATTTTGGGCTGGCTTGCTCACTTGGGCAGCTTGGAATGGAGGGGGTGGGGGGGTGGGGGGGAAAGCCAGGCTGGGAAGTTTGGCTTGGTGGTGGGAGATGAGATGTCTGTGTCACCTTCTCATCATCCTGGTACCCAACATTATTGCTGTATTGCAATACTGTTGGAGAAGGGATGAAGGAGTTGCTGTCTTTCCTCCACTACCTACTTCACGTCCCAGCTGGTCTCATCTCCTAAGGGCATGGATATAGTGTTTGGGGGAACCTTGCCTCAGGGCTGGGTGATGCTGGGGACCCTGGGATCCTTCTTTGCTCTCGCACATCTCCCCTGGACCCACTGACTCTGTGAGAGTTGCAGCTCTGCTCTGCGCCACTCCCAGCACAAAGCGAGGGGGAGCATGGCCTGTCTCCAGCCCCTCCATCTTTCCTGTCTGCTGCTGGTGGACTGAAAAGGGGCCACATGGGTATTATTGTCCTGTGAAGTGGAGCAAGGCAGAGCTGCACTGGGCTGTGCAGAGAAGGTCCCCTGAGATGAATATTGCAGCTACAGTGGTGGCACCAGAGTACTGTGTGTTCCTGGTGCTCCCCAGTACCTGGCTGTCACCCCCCTGCTTCCTGCACACTGAGAAGGGTACTCAAGACCCTGAAACCAGCACTGAACAGCTGTGAATTACAAAGCCTTTCTGCTATGTGGTACTTAGACATCGGCCCACGACCTGCTCATGTGTGGCCTCTCTGTGCCCCGAGAGCGGAGTCTGGCCTCTTGCTTGTAAAAGTTGCCTAAGCCAATGCTGACGACTTGCAGTGTCACTTCTCCAGAAGAGCTGAAGGAACTTGCCTTATGCCCTAGAGGTCAGTGTGTGAGAAGTCCCTTCACCCTGACTCTTAATCAGAAGTATTGGGGGTCTTTCCCCCCACCGTGTGTGGGATGTTCAAATGCTTTGTTGTCCTAACATTGCTTTTAAAGTCACAGCACTTCTTCCCTTTCTTCCCCCTCCGGGTGATCAGCACATGGCTGTCCCTGGGAGCTGTCTCCACTGGTACCTTGGTAAGGGGCATCGTTTTGGTTATGATCTCTTGGTACATAACTGTTTTGCACAATTAATGCCTGGTCCTGTGCTTTGTCTGTTCAATCAAAACTCTTCTTGGAGTCCCAGTGGTACTTGTATTCAGGGTGACTTTGCCTGGGTGGTGTTCAGGATTTGGCCCTTAAACTGCTCTGGCTAATTACAAATGGGGCGGGAGCTGAAAGTGCAGCCCCGAGAACTTTACATGTTGGGTATGAGCCTTTATCAGGATGTTGTATGTCCATTGCCTTTTTACTAACCAGCTGGTGCTCCTCCAGTGATCCTGGGAGAAGTGATTGAAAAAGCAGGGCATTGACATAGTTGTTTGTGATGAAACTTTCCCAGATTTCTCTCTCAGCACGCTTTTTTTTTTTTTACCTTCCTCTTTTTGGACCTGGCAGCTCACTGGCGTAACCAGAGTTGTTGTTGCCCAGCCTTTGATGAATCAAGTTCTCAGACATTTGTGCAATATATTTCCAAATCTAGGGCGCTCTGGGAGAGGAAGGAAGCCTCCTGTCTGCTGCAATTCTTGGCTTTTTTTTTTTTAAATATACTAAAAAAAAAAAATCACTGCTCCCCGACTCTGACTTCTAATGTGGAAAAGTAAGTTCAGATTTTTGTAAGCTTCAAATCAATTCCAGGACTGGAAAACCAGCCTCAACTCTTAGATCCTTTTAAAATGTCAAGTGGTGAGTTTTTTGTCCTTTGAACGGTAATAGCAGACTGTGGCTCTGAAGTTGCATCACTTCCCTCTGCATCACTTGAATTTCACATGTCAGCAAAGCAGAAGCTGAAAAGAAGTGCTGGGGCTTTTCCCTTGGTGAACTTGTGCAATAGGTGACCTCACTGAGGGGGGAGTGCTTGGGAACTTCCAAAAAGCAAATTCCCTTTTCAAGGAAAAGGGATCTCGGTGCTTTTTGGAGTCCTCACTTAACCTGCTTACGTGGAAAGCCCATGATGAGAACTGCATCCAGGATGAGCAGTGTTTGCTTTGCTGGACTCCTTGGCTGGATGTGGTGTTTCCTGAAGGCTGGTACTTCCTTGGGTTGTAATTTGTCATGATCAAAGCAGTCTTAAGATTTAAACCCCCACCTCCCTCCCCTTTACTCTGTTCCCTCCCTCTTACCAGAAAAGTTTTTCAGGAACAACAGCCCACACCAAAGGAATACACTATAATTGCTCTTAACATGCCCCCACTTCCAGAACCAAAATAGCCAAGTCTCATTCTTTTTGTCCCTGGTGTGGAGGAGTCTGATGTTAAAGGTGTCTGTTTTTAGCTTCAAAACAAACCAAGCTTGGGTATAATCCATTTCTCTCTTGTAGCTGGTTACATGTAAAAGCTGTGAATTAGTGTGCTCTGTTGCCTTCTGCCTACAAGCCCGATGCTCGACTGCAGAGCTGAATGGTGTGTATTTTAAGACAGTGTATTGAGGGGTTTCCTGTCTCTTTTTTTTTTTTTTAAGAAGCTGGACTGTTGAACGGGACCTGCTTTTTGTATTTGGTGAAAATGGTAGAAAGCTTGTAAGCTACAGTTGGAGGAGGGAATGGATGGTTACTAATTGTATAGTAGTGTTTTTATATACGGAATGTACAGATCCTTTGACAGATGTATGCTTTTGTTACTTTAATAAAAATGTAGCAGTATGAATGAGCCTTGTTTTCTTGCTGGGAACTTTTGTGTGCTCGCAAAGAGGGCGAGGGTTGGGATTGCAGCTTAAATCCCACACTGTGAATGCTGTGGGCTTGGTTGAAGTGGGGATGACTGTTTATACCCAGCTGTGTCCAGGAGGAGGTTTAGAGAAAAGCTTAGTCAACATGCTGACTCTAAACCTGACCCTCCAAACCTGAGGAATTAAGGCTGGGAATTGGTCTGATGACTAATGTGGGGCCATGGGTGTTCCTGCCCTCTCCTTCCCACGAACCACTACAGGGTTCTGGCTTGGGCAGTGGGGGATTTATTCAGGGCAGGATTGTAGAAATCCTCTGTGCTACCAGGACATGAAGGTGTTACGTGGTTAACTGCCAGATCTCACCCAACCCTAGGAACGGTGTAACTGAAGTCTTGGAAAGAGGCGAGCACTGACCTGAGCCAGGCACAGGTCCTGGTTAAGCCTCTCCGCCTCCACTGTCCTTCCAGGGGTGACTGAGCCAGCGGAGGAGGAAGGGGGAGAGATCACGGGATTGAAACGTTCAGGCATGTGGAGGATGCTCTGGGCCTGTCATGATAAAGGCAGCCGGGGTTGATTCACTGGAGATCCTGTTTTGGCTGTGGAGAGGATGGTGACTGCGGCAGAGCTGTAACCCTGCTCCCTGGGGTGGGGATGTCCAGCTCATGTGTGTAACCCCCATCTGCACTCTTCTTCATGTTGACCTGTTTCAAGGGCCTGAGATAAATTGGCCCGTACTAGTTTCAGTCCAAAATTCAATTTTTATGGAGTTCAGGAGGGGGTGTGCTGCAGCATGTCAGGGTCCTTGTGACCCACCCCAACCTGTTCCCTGTGCTGGTGATGTCAAGGCGGGGGGGAACACAGGCCTGGTCCCACCGCTCTCCCTGACAGGGGCAAAGCTGCTTCCTCCCCTCCTGTTTTTATCATAACACGCCACCTCTGAGAGGAGAACAATTTGTGGGCCGATTTTGGTGCTCTGTCAATGCCGCTCCCTTTTGAACTCATCCCTTCATTAGTTTCCATAAACACACCCAAATTGCTGCTGCTTGTGAAACAGGGCTGTCGGGGAGGAATGGGTGTCCCATGCAGTTGCTGATTAGCTGGGGAGTCATCCAGGTTCAAAGGGTTGGTGAGCTCAGATGATGGCGGCCTTCCTCCTGCTGGCTTGCCTGGACCGGTGTGGTCTGCCTGGACCTGCGTGCCATGGTCTGTGGCCCATTTTCAGGCTGGCATAGTCCATGCCACAGCCAGCCTGGTGTGGTCCTGCATGTTGTGTCCTGTGGCTGGTGTTTGGGCCAGCAGGCAGAGCCAAGATCATCTAAAATTTGCCCCGAGAAGCTGTGGCTGCCCCATCCCTGGAGGTGTTCAAGGCCAGGTTGGATGGGGCTTGGAGCAACCTGGGCTGGTGGGAGGTGACCCATGGCGGGGGGGTTGGAACCAGATGATCTTCAAGGTCCCTCCCAACCCAAATCCTTCTGCGATTCTAAAATTTGAGTTGCTCTCAGCCAAGATAAAAATACAGCTCTTGCGCCACGGAGTGTTTAGTGAGGAGTCAACCCTACCCGCACCGCAACCAGATCCCCCGCCAGCCTTTTAGTAGGTGACTCATCTACTATTTTTATTTTGCTTGTCATTTTTCTTCTGGTAGGATCGTGATACCTGCAGTACAAGCTGCGTTAGCTGGAGGTGCGTATTTATCTGCCCCCCCCGCCCAAGCCCTTCCTTGGCCTTTTAATGCTGAGCCTCAACTCTCAGCGCGTTTTCTCATCGCACGCTTGCAGCGGCTCTGAAAAAGACAGAAAGCGACTCAAACCACCTTCATCCACCTCCTGCCTGTTGAAATTGGGACTCGTTTTCTGCCGAGCCTTTTGCTGGGTTTCTGTTGTGGGTTTTTTTGTTGGGTTTTTTTTTTTATTATTTGGGTGTTTCTGGGAGGCCAGGGAAGTGTCCGATTCAAGCCGCCTGGGTGAAATGTCGTCCCCTGTAATCAGAGATCCGTGTGTTGCATAAACAAGCATTTGCCTTTGACGT